CACGCCCGGGGGGGCCCCCGAGCCGCTGCGCTGGCTGCTCCGCTCGCCCTTCGACCGCAACGTGCCCGTCCAGCTGGAGCTGCAGGAGCTGCTCCTCGACCACGTCTTCCAGCGCCTCGGCGTCGCCTCTCAGGTACCGCCGGGCCCGGAGGGGGGGACGCCGGGCCGGGGTGAGGCCCTGAAGCCGTCGGTGAAACCGCGCTCGGCCCTGCGGGGGGCTTGGGTGAAGGGAGAGGTTGTGCCTGGGTGCGTAGTGGGAATGGGGGGGTCCGACATCGCCCCTGGTTGTCCTGGGGTGTTGTGTTCAAAGAATCATGGACTTGTTTAGGTTGCAAAAGACCTTTGAGATCATCGAGTCCGACCGTTAACCCAGCACTGCCAAGGCCACCACTAAACCATGTCCCTGAACACCACATCTACCTGTCTTCTAAATACCCCCAGGGATGGGGACGCAACCACTTCCCTGGGCAGCCTGTGCCAGGGCCTGACTGCCCTTTTCAGTGAAGAAGTTTTTCCTAATATCCAACCTAAACCTCCCCTGGCTCAACTTGAGGCAATTCCCTCTCATCCTATCGCTTGTTACTTGGGAGAAGAGACCGACCCCTGCCTGGCTCCAGCCTCCTTTCAGGCAGTTGTAGAGAGCGATAAGGCCTCCCCTCAGCCTTTTCTTCTCCAGCTCCCTCAGCCGCTCCTCATAAGACTTGTGCTCTTCACCAGCTTCGTTGCCCTTCTCTGGCCACGCTCCAGCACCTCAATGTCCTTCTCGTAGTGAGGGGCTCAAAACTGAACACAGGATTTGAGGTGTGGCCTCACCAGTGCCGAGTACAAGGGGACGATCACTGCCCTAGTCCTGCTGGCCACACTATTCCTGATGCAAGCCAGGATGCTATTGGCCGCCTTGGCCACCTGAGCACACTGCTGGCTCATCTTCAGCTGGCTGTTGACCAGCACCCCCAGGTCCTTTTCCGCTGGGCAGCTCGTTGTCCCACTCCTTGCAGATATGCATGGCCCAGGTGGACAGGCCCTGAGCAGCCTGCTGTGGCGACCCTGGCTGGGCCAGTGCTCCCCAGGAATGTCTTTTGAACCCTGCTATTCTCTTAATTTCTTCATAGTTTCGTGGTAAAAGAAAAGCGGGAGGATACAACTACAGGGAGAGAGGTTTGGACTGCAGCATCTTGTCAGGCTGTGGCCGAGAACCAGAGTCCAGGATCAGTGTTTCAGAAGGATGTTAAACATTATTAGTTTTGTATAGCGCTCTTAGTAGTAGTACTTGTTGACTACCTGTTTTGTATACCCAACTGAGTTGAGAGTTGCCCCTCTAACCATGGCACCTTTTGCCTGCGTGACAACACCAATTGGAAAGCTTTATCTAGTGCTGAACTAGACTTCCACCAGTTTTCACTCACGCTTCACCTCATCATTGCATAGATTTTGGTTACTTAGATTTTTAATAATTTATATATGCTTTTAAACATCCATTCTTCTCCACCCTTAGGAGTTGAACCAATTCTTTGGTTGAATTAATATTGGAAGCCCTGATGTAGACAAGACTTCTTTTTTACCCTCTTAAACACTAGATATAATTTAACTTACGTGATGAACAGCCTGCGCATAAAGTGCTTTCTCATTGCTGTTTTGGAGAGGTTCTTACTGATGTTCAAAAGAAGAAATGAGGATAAGTATCCCTGGATTTTCCCTTCATATCTTTCTTTTCTCTTGTCTCTTACAGGGTTGTGTTGATCATCCAATTGTTTTGACAGAAGCAGTGTGCAATCCCCTGTATTCGAGACAAATGATGTCAGAGCTCCTCTTCGAATGTTATCAAGTACCAAAAGTGTCCTATGGCGTAGATAGCTTGTACAGTTTTTACCACAACAGAAGGCAGAACTGGCCCTGCAGCGGTTTGGTAATATCTTCAGGTTATCAGTGTACGCACATTTTGCCAGTCTTAGACGGCAGGTAGGTTCTTGGTGTCTTAAGTACGGTGCAGCCTCTCTTTGTCAGTCATTGACTTTTCAGTGTTGCAAATACCTGTTCCTCTAGCATTCAGTGTTCCAGCTCCTGCAGTATAAGCTCTTATCAGGTCTTAATTTATGCTGAAGAGAAAAACTAGGTCTGCAGGTTTTGTTAAGTTTTGTTGAATTTTGAATGGAAGAAGTAGTGCTGTCCTTGTATGTATTGTGTTTTTAGTTACTATTCATGCATAGATCCATGCTTTCAAAAGTAGAAGGGGCTATCTGCCCCTAGTAACATCAGACATTAAAAACCATATGTTAGGTTTTAAAGCAGCTTTGGGACAAAAGAAAGTGCTCTGTGAGATTTCTGCAGTTCTTGGGGCTTTTATAATTCTGATTATGCTGCTATGTTGCTCTATTTTTATTATTTTTTTTTTTTTTTAAATCCTTACTGCAGGAAATGGCTTTATGATATCTGGCAGGTGCTTCAAATTTTCAAGGGTTGCACCTGGCCAGCTGTGAAATGTTACAAAGGTTAAAGGGGCTACTTTTAGCTCCACTAACTATCACTTCCCTTCTTAAAATAGAAGATTTCCTTGCTGTAGCCAAAATTATATAATGTTTTTTTTTTAAAGCAGAACCTTTCATAAAGTATCTGCTAAAAACAAAGCAGTGATTGTGCTTGTTGTCTGAGAAAAGCAGATGTGTTAGATTCTCTGATAACTGAATCTTGAAGTATTTATCTGTGAATATTCATCTGTATACTTGACCATATTGAAAATTAAGTAATACTGGGGAAAGCAGGAGGTCTGTTTTGTGCTGAACTTGTGGATCTCTCCAATCTCAGTTGTATCTCTTTGAGTTTCCAGGTTGGATGCTAAAAACTGCAAACGTATTAATCTTGGAGGGTGTCAAGCAGCTGTATATCTCCAACGCCTCCTTCAGCTGAAATACCCAGGACATTTTGCTGCCATCACTCTCAGTCGCATGGAGGAAATACTGCATGAGCATAGCTACATTGCAGAGGATTATATAGAAGGTAAAACCACTAGATATTCATCCACACTTAGTTTTGTCCTCTATATCCCTTGTTTTCAAGTTGGCTGGGATTCTGGCAGAAATACTCTACTACTAGTTTGTTTTCTTTGTAGCTGTCTTTCTGGTAATCTACCTCGTGGGAAATGCTTGACAACAGTTTTGAATTGAACATTAAGATAGAAACAAAATTAAATTAGAAAAGAAAATCTGTATTAGTTCAAATTTCTCTGTGAATAAAAATTGTGATTATTTCACAGGAAAAAAAAATAAAATTAGTTTATTTTATTAGTTACTTTACTCTATACTTCTAACAAAATATTGAATTGGTTAGGATGATTTCTGCATCTGGCCATGTTTCTTATCTGCTTTAAGGTTTCCAAAATTGCAGAGGATGCTTCTCATGACTTTTTGTGAATTAAAGAAGTTTTAACATTTCTGTGGTAAAGGTCATCTTAAGTAGTGGCCAAAGAAAAGTGTTTTCTTAAATTTTTCACTTGTGAAAGAGCCTGCAGGAGTCCTTAGAAATGTGTGAGAACTCTCCCTTACCTTGGGAAGACAGAAGAGACACTAGCGTGCACTTCCCACTTCTTAGTACATTGTGTTTCCTGCATGCTGGAGATCAGAGCACTAAGAACCATGTGCACTGAGTATGTGGCTGGAAGGTAGTGCTCTGAGGGGGTAGCTAAACATGGGGGCAGCTGCCAAGAGGTGACAGAATCCTAGACTGGACCATTGTTGCCACCTTCTAAGTCTGAACTTAGCGTGGAGTGTGTACAACATACGAATAATCGTTTTCAGCCTGGCAAAATAGTTATTTTGCTTTCAAAACATTCAGAGCTACAGAAGTGGCGGTCCCCAGAGTACTATGAGAACAACATGCACAAGATGCAGCTGCCTTTCTCTAACAAACTGCTGGGAAGCACTCTGACATCTGAGGAAAAGCAGGAGAGGCGGCAGCAGCAGTTACGTCGGCTTCAAGAACTCAATGCACGTCGTCGAGAAGAGAAGCTGCAACTTGACCAAGAGAGGCTGGACAGGTTACTGTACATACAGGTAATCAAGGCAAAGTTTTCTGCGTGATCTTTTGGGAGGAGGGCAGGCTTCCCTCGGAGCTTTATCAGAAGGTCATGCATCACTGTAAAGAAGCTATGACTGTCCTGTGCGTTTTCTGATAGGAGCTTTTTAAGGTTACTTGCAGGATAAAAGGGAGAGATTATTGATGCAGAGGATGCTTCCAGGTTCTGAACAGTACTTCTTTTGTGAAATATTTTGAATGCTGCCAAAGCGTGCACATCATAATATCTAGTAATGAAGGCAAAGTGTCTGTACGTGCACTGTTGACAGGTAGTTGATTACCCTGTATTGTTCATCACAGCTAACTCTGACCTGTCTGTAGGAACTTTTAGAAGATGGTCAAATGGATCAATTCCACAAAGCTTTGGTGGAGCTGAACATGGATTCTGCAGAAGAACTTCAGTCTTACATCAACAAATTGAGTCTATCTGTTGAACAAGCGAAGCAGAAAATCCTACAGGCAGAAGTCAATATTGAAGTAGATGTTGTGGACAGCAAGCCAGAGGTACAATGTTTTCACCAAGTCAATCCTCTTATCATCTCTGAGAGAATTAAGTTTCTATGCTTGAAAATGTTCCCCTCAGACTTTTATTGACGAACTAAGCTTTTCCTTTAACACACTGCAACTCATTGTTAATTTGGTAACTGCTTCTCTCTTTTCCAGCTTTCCTATGCAGCTACAGAAAGTGACGGTTTTGATTTTTATAGGGTACGCCTGAAGTCAGTAACCCTTCTCGTGCTGTTCTGCACTGTGCTCTGGGACATATCTTCTAGTTTGATTCCATATAGTTCTAAGCATAATCTCTAGGCTTCCTGACAGTAGTTGAAGTATACAGTTATATGAAGTCAGTAAGTTTTCTTAAGTTTCCTGCACATCTTGAAGAAGTTGGAGAAAAAGAAAATAGCCCTAGTGGCTCAGAGAAGGTACCAGTGAAGATACTACTGCTTCCCTTTGTACTTACTCCTGGCAGCGTATGCCAGCCACTGTCCTTACTTAAGGTTGACTTGCTTAGGGGGTTGTAAATGTAGCAGCTAACGTAACGATTTTGTTCATACTTTAAACCAACCTCTGACTCTGCTGTTGCATTAATTTTGGTGAAATAAGTGGCCCTGGTATGTTAAAGGATTTTTTTTTTCAGTGTCTGACAATTAAATGACATGGAGTTTTAAGTACTTAAATCTCAAGTGGTTATAATCCTAAGACAACCATCCTTAAATGTCTCTAGCCTTGTATTAAAGATATAGAAGAACCTATCAAGGTTTTTGTTAAAAATGGTATTTGTTTTCCTTTCTGTTCTTCCCTTTCAGGTGCAGAGAACTTTATGGTAAATAACTAACCCTTTGCCTTCATTTTGGCTATCTTTTTTGGTGCAATTAAGCAGCATGTTCTCTTTTGTTTACTTAACAATGAAAGGTTAATTGCTGCACTTGGTTGTTGGAGTTGTCTTGAAGATGAGAAGCTTGTTTGTCTGCTTTGCCAGACTAATACAGGCCCAGCACTACTGCAGCTGCTTCCAAGAGATGGTCTAAGGCTGTTCATGTATTGACTTGAAATTGCCTTTCAAGTCTCCTAAGACAGAGCTTTTTTAGTTATATCAGTCTTTGCTCAGGAAAAGGTAGAGAAAAACAGAAAGTTGAAGCATAGAGGAGAGTGGTACCAGATATAGGAGTTCTTGGGTCTTATATGGAACTTGAGATGTAGTCAAAACTAGCAGGTGAGCTGGTATCTTCTTGGTTATATTTTGCCTATCCTTAACAGGAAAGTTTGTGTAAGAATCAGAATGACCGTGTTTGAGCAAAACTGAGGTAGGTCCTGGGCTTACCATAGTGGTAAAGAAACTTCCTGCCTTCTGTCAAAAGAAAATGTTCTACAAAGAGCTAATTGAAAGACTGTCAGCGCCTTGTAATTTTGCCCAGTGGTTGTGCCTAAGTCCCAACACGTATGTTTTGGATCCCATGCTCCTCCTCTTTACTAGGTGTAATCTCAGACCTTGGAATGAATCGGCAAGCCTTTTTGTTTGGTCTGTGCTTTGTGAGAGAGCCTACAGTTATCACCAAAACCGTTTGTGAAGATAGGCCATCCCTCTGTGGCGGTGTAAAAGAGACTAAAAGCTAATCATGTTGTCCTAGGGTCTGTGCCAACTCTTCAGCAGAGTTCTATGTTTCTTTCTGTTGGTAGGTTTAAGACATAAAAAGAAATGGATTTAAGAAAGCATAAGAGTTGGAGATAACTTCAGATGTCTACCGTTCATTGCTCTAACAATTAACAGTGCTTAAACTTCAGTTTGAGTGATTGCTTGGTTTTTAAGTGGACCTAAGCTAGATACTTCAGAATGTTTAAATGATCGAGCTTTGTCTCATCCTGGTATTGCTTGCTAGACATTGCAACAAATGTTTCAAGTTTAAAATAACAAAAACAAATCTGTAGCAACAAAATCCCAAAGGTAACATTGTAACACAAAAATGAAGGCAATAATTAAAAAGCTGCTCCTAGTTCACAAGAGTGAAGTAACCTACGATTTTGAGTGATGCTTTTCATTAGGAAGGGGCTTTGAGAGCATCTTCGCATCTGTGTAAAATATATGGGCTTTTGGTATATCCCGTGTGCAAATCCTAGGCGGCTGAAACTGTCAAAAATTGTGTGGTGCCTTTGTAGCTAGCAAATATTTGTTTTCCAGTCCCACACAAGCAAGGCAGGGAATTTAAAGGTAATTATAGAGCAGTTAGAGGTGCTGGGAATGCACCAAGTTTTAACCAGTTTAAAAAGCTATTTTAATAAGTTTTAGTATGTTGTTATATTTAGGACGTGGCTGGCAAGGAACCTGGCAGTCAGCCTGTTGACTAAGGCGTTTAATTTCTGAGGTGGCATCATGATGTATTTATTGAAAGTGTTTGATTTTTATACTTTGAGTGAATGTCTGGCTTAAGTCCTGTGTTCTAGGTTGTTCACCATTTTGACTTTTGTCTTCAGTTCTGGAGAACAGCATATTTGGTTTCAGGCATGTTAAAGAGTTGAGATTTGAGGGAATTGTGGTTGAATTTTTCAAATGTGTCACCAGAATTGAAGTCATATATGTGCCTAGTGTGCCTGAGCTAACCCACCTTAATATACCTTCTCTGTTTCCAGACTCCTGATTTGGATCCATTAGGCAGTGAACAGTCACTGGAGGATGTGGAAAGTATTAATGAATTTGAACCTTTATTTGCTGAGGAACAGCCTGAAGTTGAGAAGCCTGTTGCTGCAGTGCAGGTTTGATTTCTGTGTCTACACCTCGTGCCAAAGGTTGCTGCCTCCTGGATGTCCAGCTAGTCTGCTAACATTTCCCCACATGCCAACATTGTTTGCCTGCTCTTGGAAGAGATGCTTTAACTCTCTGAATAGGACATTGAGAGACAACTCCTTGCAATCTTAGCTGATGGTTTAGAGCATGAATATACCCGCTTGGCTCACGCTGCAGGCCATGCCTGTTGTAGCCATGGTATTAGGGAAACAAAGTTCTGCTCAAGTTTTTTTGTGTGTGATCTGTAGCATTGCATCCCCATGAACACAGCTTTCAACTTGTGATGTTGAGCCTTAGGATTGAGTGGCACCAAACAGAATAAAGTATAGGAAAAGTCCAGCTTCCTTGGCCTTTGGGAACCTTTTACAGTGTGGCCCTTCCTCTGTGAGAGCATTACGATCTGTTTTTTGTACCGAATTGTTTGGAAACTTTGCTTATTCTAGAATATTACTATTCTTTAACATAATTTCCCACTACTTTTCAATCTCATCTTTTTAAAGCCCGTGTTTAACCTGGCAGAGTACCACCAGCTTTTCCTTGGCACTGAAAGAATCAGGGCTCCGGAGATAGTCTTCCAGCCCTCCCTGATAGGAGAAGACCAGGCTGGTATAGCAGAAACCATGCAGTACGTCCTTGAGAGGTGAGTTTACAAATCTACTTGGCAATTACTTCAAATGAGCTAGTCTTGTTTTGATATCAGCTTTTGCAATACTGGTTACTCAACAATAATATGAGAAAATTATGTTTGAATAGTTCTTTTTGGTGGGGTTGAGCATTGCAGGTTAGACATGTCTTCCTGTTCTCCACGTGTAAACTCCGCTTGTCTTAAGTCAGTGGTCTCCAAACTTTTTTGATCGATTACCCCATCAGTAAAAAATTTTTGAGCACACACCTCCAATATATGTATATTTATAAATCACATACAGGTGCTACTGAACTCGTATATTATGCACATTTTAAAATGTACACAAAAATAGAAATTAAAAAAGGATGAGGTAAAGTTGAAATAAACACTATTTTAATGTATTTATTTATTAATGGTACAAAAAATATCTTCTTCCTGCACCCCAGTGGATTGTCTTGCACACACCCCACGTTGGAGACCCCTGGTCCAACTTGTTATATAGGGAAACAACAAACCCTTGTAAGTATCCATCCCTTGAAACAAGGAGCTGGCAGTCTCTGTTTTTGCGAGACCAATATCAGGGGTGACATTTTTAAGTTCTGATATAGGCACACTTGCTGGACAACTATTTCCACATAGCTTAGCATTAGTAAAACGTCACCCCTGACTGCCTGAACATACGAGATTGCGTTTTCTGAAATGTAAGAATTCCAGCTGTACTGAGCTGTTGATCTGTGGGGTACAGCTCGCAGAGTGCTTTAAGGATTTTCTTCTGCCACCCCCTGAATTTCCAGAAAACAAAGGAACACAAGTTTTCCTGCTAGGGAAGTGAAGGAAGTTTCTCAAAGTGAATCCTGAAGAGAAGGTATCACCCTGTAGCTGTTCAGTTCATAGGGAGAGATGTCCTTGAGAAAGACTGAAGTTGTTTTTTGTTCCTTGTAGGTATCCAAAGGAACAACAAGCTATTCTTGTCCAGAATGTTTTTCTCACTGGTGGAAATACAATGTACCCTGGTCTGAAAGCCAGAGTCCAGAAGGAACTCCTCGAAATGAGGCCGTTCCAGTCGTCTTTTCAGGTACATGTATTGACATGATGGTTACGTGAACAGTCCGTTCATCGGTGTTCAAAAGTAATTCAGGTTGGGAGAGGTACAGAGCGGGTGTACTCAGAGCATGGGAATGGAGAGTGGTTTATGACAAGACACTGAAAACGGCTGTTTTGACGTGAGAAAATGAAGGTTAAGCGAAGATACCATTGCTCTTTCTGCAGACATTAGAGAGAGTAAGGTAGATGCCTTGGAAAAGGAAAACCTGCTTCAGCTAAAGGACCGTGCACGCACAAGCATGTTTGGCTGGAAATTTGCAGACTGATTTCTTAGGATTGGGACAGTTACAATCTGGAACAAGTAACCTTTGTTAGGAGTAGTTGCTGGGAAAAACTGCTCTCTTCAAACTAAGTTGCATGTTCAATTTGTTACATGTGATGACTGGGACAGCAGCAAAAGAGATTCAGTGAGTATCTTACAAACCTGTGATCCTTTGCTACGTTTTTGGTAGCAAGCACAGTACAAACTGGGCAAGTCCCAAAGTTTGCCATGTATTTTGTAAGGAGACTTGCAAGAGTCTCCCTTGCTGTTCTAAAACCACCTTGTCTTCTCAAATCTGACTTCTTGAATAGAAAATCAGGTTATAAACTGGGGGGAGGAAAAAAAAAATCAGTACAAATATAATCTTGTGATTCCACAAGCCTTGTTTTGTACAATTATTGCATGTAGCTGAGAGCCAGGTGTGACTGACAGAAACTCAGTTACAGCCGTATGCTCGGTAGTTTTAGGGAGGATATTGCTTGCTAAGTTTTGAGTGTGTAACTTGTGTCTATAGGAAGAAAAAGCACATTTTCTTCGGCTTTTAATGTTGCTGCTTGTAACTGAATAAGAGTTTCCTTCTTTCCATTAAAATGTGGTTTGTAGCGTGGTCCTATCAGAAATCTGTCACTTCACAGATATCGCACGTGGGATTTATGTGGTGTCTAGTCTAGCAAGCCCATAGCTGAACCAGGAAAGCAGTTCATGCTACAGTGATAGGAATAATTTAAATGGAAGTATGAATCTACACCAGCAGAAAAAGTACGTGTGGTCCTTACTTTCCCACATACAGCAATTTCTTAGCCTGCAGTATTCCTCCCTGCTACTTCCAGCAGGGAGGAAGTTTTGCTGGAGCACTTGATACTTGTTTTGCAGTACCACCAACTCTTCCAGCATTGGCTTCCAGCTGTGAGGGCTGCTGGTTGTGAATGCGATACACCCATGTGCTTTCTCAACCTGCAGAAACACAGCAGGCTCATGGAGAACTGATCTCAAGGTGAAAACACACTTCAAACTCACTCCTAACGTTACTCTTCCCCAGAAACACTGAATAACCAGCTCAAACTTCTGACATTCAGTAGTTTGTGTTATATAGTACTGTAATCAGGGTAAAAAGAGCTTTCCTCTCCTGTGTTGAATTGATGTTGTTCTGTTTTCCTTCCATCCAGGTTCACCTTGCTTCCAGTCCTGTTTTAGATGCCTGGTACGGGGCTAGGGATTGGGCAGTGGAACACATGACTCGTGAGGAAGGCTGGATAACCAGAAAAGACTATGAAGAAAAAGGGGGAGAATACCTCAAGGAACACTGTGCTTCAAATGTCTATGTTCCCATTCGCCTTCCAAAGCAGGCCCCACGGACAACAGAGGCGTTAGCACCTAGCAGAGCGCTGACATCCAGCACAGGGAATCCTTGTGAGCAGGCGTAGCACTGCGCTTTTGTCGCAGGCCCTCGGATGGAGATAACAGTGCAGAGAACAGAAGAGTTACTGGGTTGCAGTGTGAGCTGTGCATGGAGTGCAGGCTTCAGCCTAGCCTTGCTGGCTGCTCAGAGAGCACTAAGCATCTCATCCCGTCACTTGAACGACGAGGACAAGCCACGCTGGGGTGTCGGCTGGAACGGTCGTAGCACTTGCAGCGCTTAGTGCTGGTCACGCATAGCACAGGAGTATGCATCAACAAGGAGGAACACAACAGAAGTGCGTTCCAGAGAAAAATACCATCTTATAAACTTCCATAGTAAGACTCAGGGTTTTTTGAGAGTATATGTTTTACAGCTTTTTTTAAAATTTAATTAAAATGTACTGGTTTTATACTGCTTTTATTGCATGATGCAGAAGCTGGGCTTGTATTGAGCGAGTCAGTCCAGCAGGCGTCTCCCTCGCTCATCACATCGAGCGTTTGTCGGGACATGTTGGTCAGGATGCGTCGTGCTGCCGGAGGCCGCAGGGGCTGATCTGTGCCTTTCCTCCTGAGGCTTCCGGCTCTCGCCTCTTGTTTGATTTCCTTCCTGCTACACACTTTCTGCTAAACCACTGCTGAATAAGCGATGGGATGTCAGATACTTTTTTTACTTCATTTATGTTGTAATATTGATGTTTTGGTTGAAACTGGAGACCTGGTCACATAAAGCACTGTCCAGCTATAAAGACAGAAGCCTCCATAAAGTGCAGTTGAGAAGGACTGCCAAATCTTGTGCAGTCCTTAAGCAGTTTTACAAGAGTGGTGGCTGAGCAAGGCCACTCTTCACTGGTGGGACCTCTTTTATCAAAAGTTGTTTTAGCAATAAAGCAACCTTTTTGCTTTACCACTAACTTATCTGTTTCAGTGATTTGACCTCTTTGAAGAGTACAGCACCAAGGATGTATTGGATTGGTTGTACCTTGCTGAAAAATGCAGGTTTGCAGCCAGGCCCCTGTCCTGCTGCACAGCATACTCTAGCTTAAATTTGACGGGATTCAGTTCTCGCACGGAACAATTCACTATGGCTTTCCCAAAAGAATAATCAATACTAAATGCTGAACTGAAACCTAAGCAGACTCTGTCAGTTTGGCAAGAGCTGTAAAGCATTAGGCTGGAAAAGGTAAGACTTTGGGGAAAATACCCAGACCATAACTGGTATAAAGAAGGTGAAGAGGCGGTGGCTTACTGTCCCCAAGGGCTGCAGAGCATCAAGAGAAGTTGCCATCTGGCAGGTTCAAAACAAAGGCCATGAGGTGCTTGTTGGTGTTTGAGGAGTGAGGAGTTTGTTGCCGCAGGATGTGATACGCACACTTCTGGATTAAAAAAAACCTGTTATCCAGATCTACGATTTAAAAAAAAGAAAAATCTGCTATCAAACACAGAGGTCTCACCTGTGTGCAGGAGATCATGCAGTCACGTATTCCTTGGCGAGCGTATGAGGGAAGTGTTGTTACAGACCTGCTCTCGTACAGGGTTCCTGTGGCACCCAGCACTGGTCGCTCTCAGGTGGGATACAGGTCTTGGTGGGCCTTTGCCGCGGTCCTGACAGGCTGCTGGGCGGGCGGGGAGGAGGAGAAGGGAGCTTGCTGCCTTCAGGTAACCTCAAGTTTGGACTATCGATCCTATCCCTAGCTGCCTGGAGGCGCACTAATTTTCAGGACCATTAAGGCAATTCTATGGGTGGTAAAGAATGTGGAAAAACGTGCTGTGCTGAAACACAGCAAAGTTACACCCCAACTAAGCGTCTTTGCTGATCTCTGTTGGTATCAGTGACCTGGAGTAGAGCATATGATGTGCCATTGCTATTTGACCCCTTTCTGACGCATCTTTAGCTATAATGGCAGAGTGGCTACTCAAGATACAGCAATTTGTTCTGATACATAGTTGCTAAAGAGATAAGAGGATGTTGTGCATAAAACTCTTCCAGAATGAAGGCCTAAAAGGGTATCTGTAGTGGATGGTTATATTACTTTTAAATCTTTGGCCAAATTGTGCCAGCCACTTCACTTGCATTAATTCAAAGCAGAGCTGTGTAATTCTGTACAGAGATGCCAGATCAGCTGCTTAAACAGCTTCAAGGAAGCATAATTTTATAATCTTCTAAATATTAGCTGTTAATTTGTTACTTTATCCCCACAGTAACTGGAGTAACGAACTTGGACAACGTGATCACAGTCACAGGCTGGTCTGAATGTGCTGGTGGACATTCAGTTGCTTGGAGCAGCGTCATGAAAAGCAGGAATTGTGCAAA